GCTGTGAGGAGCAGCGGAGCTACTGCGCTGCTTCCACGGCTGCTCAGGAGGGGAGCATGTCTGCAACTCGAGCCAAGAAAGTGAAGATGGCCACCAAATCGTGCCCCGAGTGCGACCAACAAATTCCTGTTGCGTGTAAATCATGTCCCTGTGGTTACATATTTATTAGCAGAAAACTACTAAATGCAAAACATTCAGAGAAATCACCACCATCTACAGAAAACAAGCAGGAGGCCATGAGGAGGCGAACAGAGAGAGTCAGGCGAGAGAAGATAAATTCTACAGGAAATAAAGATTTAGAAAACAGAAAGAGATCTCGAAGTAACAGCCATTCTGATCATATCAGACGAGGAAGAGGAAGACCTAAAAGTACATCTGCCAAAAAACATGAGGAAGAGAGAAAAACAGGAAAAGGAAATTGACATCTATGCTAACCTCTCTGATGAAAAGGCTTTCGTGTTTTCAGTTGCCTTAGCAGAAATAAATAGAAAGATTATCAATCAAAGACTTATTCTCTGATATTTGTCTTCAAAATCTGTTGCCTCTTTCTTCAGGATTACATCAGCAAATTCTCAGCCGGCCATAGGCTCTCAGGAGCGCTCAGACTGTGTGAATGAGGGCCACTGATTGCTTTCTCTGTTTTCTCGTCTGTTGCCACACTTAGGCGCAAAGCTGTGGGCTGGATTTCCTTGTTTACCAAGGATAATTATCAGTGTTTTGTGTTGGGATATTACTAAATGTATTTACAAAAACAAACAAACAAACAAACAAACAAAACTACCAAAAAGGCCCTGGAAACTGGATGGTATTTACAGATGGAAGGGATAGAGTGTCGGTGGAAATACACAAGGCAGAGCAGCTGACAGGCTTGGTAGTTTTCAGGTTCGCACCAGAGACGCAGCGTCTTCAGTCCTGTCAGGAGAGTGACTTTTAAATGTGTGTACTTCAGGCTCTCACCATTTACAGATTGCATGTATACAATCCATTGACTTTTAATAAATTGGTAATTGATATTTTATTGAATGGAGAATTACGAATATAGATTATAAATTCTGTCTTCAATTGACTTTCTTTGGGTGCTATTTTAATGATTTAAGGTAGGAGTTATATTTTCAGAAACTTTCTAGACAGTTTGGAAATTTGGGTGCTATATGAAGAAAAGCATTTAAGGCTGTATCATATTTCAGATATAAACACCTTGTTTTCTTGAATGTTTATTTATTGGTTTAAAAAAATTTTTCTGTTATCAATATGGTGCCTGTTAACCTAAACACAGATATATTTATTATATAAATTGCAAAATATTTCTTAGCTACTTGTGAACAGTGATGTTTTGTCTGAATGAATGTTCATTTATACATAATTCTGGTAATTATTTAAATTGTTACTTCATCCTGGAAAAAAATAAACCTTAATATTGAAAGTGAGTAAAAAAAAAAAAGAAAAAAAAGAAAATTCATTGCTGATAAAAATGGCCTGTTCATTTTTCTCTGTGCAAAGTACCATATTTCTCACAGTTAAATCACCTGGCATTTTGAGACCTGAGACCTTTAGTGGCTTGGCCACAGTCTCTTTGGAAAGGACCATATTTCCTGCAACTGAAGCATCAGACATTTTGATATTGGAGACTCTGTCTATAGCTTGACTTATAATATTAGCATTGTACATGTTAGAACCAGTATCAGTTGCACCCCTTATCCAATCGTGGTACTCCCCACGTGATTAGTAGTATAATAACATTTTTACATTAGTGTTTGCATTTTCATGAGCGAGGCTTTTTATTGACACCTGTCCTGCATCAGTTCCTCGTATCTCTTTATTCACAGCTGAGACTAATCTTTGTAAAATGAATAAGTAAAGCAGCAAAGGCTTCCCCAGAGCCTTGTATAATGTTTGTAAATGAGATGGATCTTTTTCTGGACTCCTCAACACTGTCCCAAGATCTCAAAGCAACTAAACAATATTGTTCTAGTGCAGCAGCAGAACATTGAACTTGTTCTTGTATATCAGAGTATTGCCTCCACCCAGTAACTGACCTTTGACTATATTCATTCCCCTTGCTCCATTTTGCTTTTAACCATTGCAATTGTGGACTCCATCTAGTACAGCTGTCACCAATCCCTAGCAGTCTTGGGTTAACAATTCCATAACCCTTTCTCTCAAAACAGGCTATTTCGTCAAATTGTCCTCCCAACAGTTCAGCTTTTCTTTGAGCTGACTGCCTGGTTTTGCCTCTCCTTCTTCCTGTGAGAAACTCCTGTTCTCCTTCTCAGTCACCAGAACTGAGCTCTTTTATTCTTCCTTTTCTGGCACTCCTCACCTCCCCAGCGTTTCCACTTCTGTCTGCAATTTTTCCAGTAGTACCACCAACTCTGCAAGACTTTGGGAAGAGAGAGCAGAGTGATTCTTTTTGTATTCCTATTTCAGTCATTTATTTTTTCTCAGGTCCCTACATTTCCACACATATTTTCTTCCAACTGCTCAGGATTTCTTCCAACTATTTTTGAAAAAGTTTAGGAAGACAGGGGAAAAAAATACAATACAAACAACAAAAAAAAATGACAATGACAACAACAACAACAATAACAACAACAAAGCCAAGGAGCAAAGCATTGGATATCTCAATGGTAGTAGCCACAATCAGTTTTTTTTCTGACATCTCAAAAGACAATTTCCATCTTTAATCCCCTGTCATTTCCTCTACAGCTCTTGGAAGCGAGCTTCCGGTACCACTTAGTTAAAATTGGTGGCACTTGTAGATGACTTTTTTGGGCTTCTTTTGATTTTATGTATCATTTCTCAGCTATTCATATTTCAATTTTAATGTATACTCAGAACATATGTCAACTTTTAAACTGCATTACCTTTTTTTATTTTATTTTCTTCAGAACCTATCCTGTTTTGTCTATTCATCCTTGAAACAAAGAATATGGTGTAGTCATTTTCTCCCATCCAGAATTTGTCTCTTCATTCTGGTGGTTGTTTTCTTTCCTACACAGAAGCTTCTTGGTTTTTAAATGATGTCATTTGTCTACACTGCTTCTGTTTTCTGTACTTTTGAAGTCATAAACAAAAAATTACCTTTGCTAATACTGATATAGCATAGCTTTTATGTTCCATCTTAGTTGTAAGTGTTTATGATCTTATATTTACATTTTAATCACCTGTGAGTCGATGTTTTCTACATAATGAAAGAAAAACAGTGAATTTACACTTGTGTGCAAGTGGACATTTACTCACTGAAGAACTTGTCTCTTCTTCAGTGTATACTTGTTGATCATTTACTAATCAGTATCAATAATCAGCAGGCTATAAATCACCAATCCCACAGAGTTCTATCTTTGGCTCACTATATTCTGTGAGTTTTATTTGGGTTGCTTCTTTGTCTACTGTGGCTCTATAGTCGTCTTTTTTTTAATAATTTATTTATTTTTTTAAGTCATACTTCATTCACTCAGGGGTTATAAACACAGAAAGGCAGGATGTAGGGAAGGGGATGATACTGGGGTGTGGGTGTTCAGGGGGAGTACAGATATCTTTCAGAACAGGTTATTGGCTGGGTGAATGTTCAGGGGACAGATCACTATGACTCTTCCTATGATTCACTTGAACTTATCTCAGTTGGTATTGTCTGCCAAGGCTACCTATTTACAAGGTCTATGACCACTCAGGCTGGTAAATTTCCATGAAAACTGCCTGTTTACAATAGCTTATAGCCATCAGTTTCAATGTTTACAGTCATCTTGATATCAGGTATTCTTACTCTTCTAGCTCTGCTGTATTACAGATTAGTTCAACTCATTGACATTTTTTATACCTTCTGAATTTCAATAAGATATTAGTAGTTCTAAAATAATAGCACTATTGTTTTAGTTAAGTTTGCATTGAATATATTGATCATTATTTTTGTTTCCTAGTGTTAATTCTAGTGTTATCATGTGTGATATTTCATGTGTGTCTACTTCATGTTTCATATTATCATGTGTGTCTGCTTCAATTCCTTTAATAGTGTTTTATGACTTTTACCATAGATGTGTATTATTTTCAAGGTTAAACTTATTTCTTGGCATTTTCTTGATAACTGTTTTGATTATGAGTGCTTTTATGATGTCCATCTCGGCAAGTATACCAATGCATGTAAAGGTTGTCAAGTATTTCTAATTATGTGATCTATGCTAGCCTATGCTTCTGCTGCATGACAAACCATAGTAGCCTAACCTAAAACTGTTTTAGTTATCAGTGCAATATTGACATTAGGCTTGTACAAGGGGTGACTAAGGTCACCTCACAATCAGAGGGATGGAATTATCTAGAAGCTTCTTGGCTTTTATATTAGCTGTATTAATGGCTAGGTTTTAGAATACTCAGATGCTGGCAATTGTAAAGCCTTCCCATGCTCAGTGTTTAATGGGATTTTCCCCCTGCAAGTGCCTGCCAAACCTTAAATATTGTTCTAATGAATCTTAGAGTATATGATTCTTAATTTGGAAATCGGATTCTCTGATAGAGTTATTAGTATATCAAGATAGAAACTGAAGAAATCAGGAACAAAATGTAAAATATATTATTCGTATGCCTCATATTTAAAACCCCTTCCAAGTATACACAATTCTAAAACTACTATACTACAGGAAACCATACATACAGGTTCTTATTGTAACTGTGTGACATTGAAGAGTTGAAAGTAACATAAATATTTAATCCTATAGGTATCAATAAATACAGTAAAATCACATGATGTAAATTTAGATAGTACACAATAGCTGAGATAGAGAAATCCAAAATATGAGAGTATCTAATAAGCCACTCAGACCACATTCATAAATAAAAGCTATATTTGATGTAGAGAGAAACCAAACTACAAACTTCTTATAGAGTATGTCTGTTAGAAAATTATATAGTTTCATTTTCATATTTACATACCTTAGGTTTAAACAATAGTAAGGCAGCTCTGCATGTGATGAGATAAAATCATTGTGATATGATCTTTTCTTTTTCAGTGTCTTTTGAAGAACCCGCTGCTGCTGACACAGGCAATCTGCAAAGTCACAGAGTCCATGACACTTAAGTCATCGTCATACTTTTTGCCCAAATATTTGCAAACTCAATTTTTATTAACGCCCAAGTTTGCCACTAAGCTCACAGGTAGGTGTTTCTTTTTCCTATGCTGATTTTAATATTTTCAAAATGTGCATATTTAAGTGATATATATATATATATATATATATGTCAAAAGACATATTGTCATATAAGTAGAAGAGAGAGTGCAGTGTATTTGAGTGCCACTTTGGTAAAACCATATACATATTTTTAATATATAAAACTTCACAATGCTCTTTATCATCCTGCCTCCCCATCTATATATCTGCCCATTTTTCCTTTCTCCTCCCCTTTAACAAACAACTCTTCAAAAGCCACAATGCATCCTTTAAGCTCTTCTATACCTTCCTTCTTGTGTGTCTGTACTCAATGTTTTTCTAAAAGAGTCGCATTTCCTAGTTATTTTTCTATTTCTTTCACCTGAAACTGTATGTTTCAGATTCACATTGATTTAACCTTAATGCATTGTAATTAAGTGGTGGTATTAATTTTTTCATAATTTCCAGAGAGATGTCACTGTCTATGTACATGCAATTTTAATCTATTATTATACAGATAAATATAAAATTAGATTTAATCTTAATTTTTCTAAATATCATAATGTATAAATTCATTGATATCCCTTCATGCACTTTTGTTAATGTTGTTCTATGTCTTGACACTTAACAGCAGTTGATATTGTATACATTTTCAATCATAAAAGTATATTGAGAATGACTCTCTAAAAGACATTATAAATTGAAGTATTAAAAGGTTCTAGAATTAATTGAAAACATCTAATATAATTATTCATTTTTGTTTACAAAACATCAAGCAGGCATTTTACAGCATTTAGTATAACCAGTGAAAGAATAAAAGAGTATTTACATTAATCTTAAATAACCACAAGGACAGAAAGGTATGAAAGAGTGAATATAAATTTTGTCTGAAAAACAAAGCAATACAAAACTAAACAAAACAAAAACCATATGTTAACAAGTGCAGAAGCTTTTATCATAAGCAGATTATTGAGTATGTCTTCTTTTTCCCCATCCAGTTTCCCCATATATTGGTCTTTTCATGTCCTCTGATATATCAGACACCAAATAAGAGATGTATTAACAATTGCATGCTCTACCTTGGCTTATAAGGATGGACTGTGAGCCAATTTTGATATCCACAGCAGTGACTTAGACTCCTGCAATATTTTCCCAAATGAGACTATCAGTCATCAAAGTTTTCAGGTTTCTTTGCCAAAGTTTTGGTTTTGTCAATCATCTAATAGTAAATTAGTGTTGCATTTTTTTCATTGGGCTGTAGTTTTTTGAGGAAGTCTCCTAGAAGAAACATTTTTGATTATTCCAAAGATTGGGTCCATAAAACCACCAGTTACAAAGGTCAGTGGTTCAAGGACCATCTGACTGGTGGTAGGTACCTGAAGGCAGACTCTTAAAAGAAAACTGGTGATACTTTAAGGTAGACTTTTAGGAAAAATCAAAAGTCCCCTTTTATTCCAAAGAGCGAACAGTTTCCAAAAGCTCTTTTGTAGCACATGAATGTGTTGCTCAGCTGCTATTTCCATGCTAGAATTTCTCTTATTTATGCACAGGTTTTGTGCATTCTGTGCAACTACTTTGCATTCTTATGTGCCTGAGCCTTAGAGTCTTAGAATATTCAGAAGATACTGTTTCTTTGTGGTTACCCACTATTTCTGGCTTCTTATACACCTTCTGCTTCCTCTTCCATAATGATCTCTGAACCTAGAGAAGAGGGGCTGCTTTGTATATTTTCCATGTAAACCTGTTGTACTGGCTGTTTTTGTGTCAACTTGACACAAGCTGGAGTTATCACAGAGAAAGGAGCACAGTTGAGGAAATGTCTCCATGAGATCCAGCTGTAAGGCATTTTCTCAATTGTTGATCAAGGGAGAGGGCCCATTGTGGGTGGTGCCATCCCTGGAGTGGTAGTCTTGGGTTCTATAAGAAAGCAAGCTGAGCAAGCCAGGGGAAGCAAGCCAGTAAGTCACATCCCTCCATGGCCTCTGCATCAGCTCCTGTTTCCTAACCTGACTGAGTTCCAGTTCTGACTTCCTTTTGAATAGCAATGTGGAAGTGTAAGCTGGATAAACACTTTTCTTTCCAACTTGCTTCTTAATCATGATGTTTGTGCAGGAATAGAAACACGGACTAAGACACCTTTATTGAGTTCTTTTTCCTCATTTTTAATTATTTCATCAATCCACTCTCTAGTGGTTTGGATAAGTATGCCCCCACAGGCTTCATGTGTTTGAATGCTTGGCCCATTGGAAATGGCACTATTAGGAGATGTGGCCTTATTGAGTAGGTATGGCCTTGTGGGAGGGAATGTTTCACTGGGATGGGCATTGAAGTCTCAGAAGCTTAAGTTAGGCTAGTAGTCACTTTTAATTCTGCTGCTTGCTGAACCAGATGTAGAGCTCTCAGTGCCTTCTGCAGTAAGTTGTCTACTTCCATGCCTCCATGTTCCTTCCATGGTGTTAATGGACTAAACTTCTCAAACTTCAAGCCACCTCAATTAAATATTTTCTTCTAAAAGAGGTTGTCATGGTAGTGGTGTCTCTGCACAGCACTAGAAACCCTAACTAAAACACACTTACACTGTTCATGTGTTATATATTGCTGCTTTTCATATTTTTTTATCTTGAGCTTTCCACATGAGTTCACATGGATAACTCTTTACTTTTATATTGTAGCTTTCATGATATGTTGAATTCTTCTGGAAGTATGACTTGGAATAATGAGCTTCTTGCATAAGGTTGTATTCACTGTCAAAAGTACTCTATAACTCAATATCATTATAGGACTTTTGTTTTTGATCACAGTTTTTCAACAGAGATTACCATGTCAAGATTACAGTATATCAGCATTTCTGCAAATCTTGAAAGAATGGATAAACTCTGGCATTTCAAGCAGATGTGTAGGCATCCTAAGTTGTAGTATGCATGCTCAGTGGTGACCCCTACTGGGATGATAGCACTATTAGGAATTGTGGCCCATCAAAGATATTATGTTGACCACTGCATTTATGTTGAAAGGCCCATGGAATGACTGAAGGTATATTATTATGAAGATTAACATCTAGAATCATAAGTTTTACTGTGTGACACTGACACTTCATCACCAGACTTACCATTCACATGCAGTCTGCCCTGCTGCAGCCTTGAATACAGTAGAACAGAGATGTAGGTGTGGTCTCCCCTATGTTATGTTTTCCTCTTGATTGCTACTGTGTTAATATTTATCCTGGAAACATAATTTCAGCCCCACATCCCCATCCATACTGCTGAATAGATGGTATTATATGCTTGTCCGTTTTCACTAAGTAAAATTCCCACTAGGTCCAAGCAAGATATAATGTGACTGAAACTAAATTAATTCTTCAGTAAATATAGCTCAGGGACACAACAGTTCATTATACACTGGGCCCTGGGTTGATCTGCGGTTCATGTGAGATAGAGTAGAGAGAAAGATAGAAGTGATTTGTAAAATAATATAGAGAAATAGAAATGGTAATTGAAAGGCTGAATGTCACTCAGTTTAGGAACTACCTGTCTAGGGCACATGAAAATTCTCAGCATTTAAAATGAGAAAAAGAAACATTAAAAGGTAAAAATAGATATTAAAAATAATAAAAAGGGAAAACATTAAAAGAAAAAAGAGAAGTCTAGGGCACATCAAAATACTCAGCATTTAAAATGAGAAAAAGAAACATTAAAAGGTAAAAATAGATATTAAAAATAATAAAAAGGAAAACATTAAAAGAAAAAAGAGAGTGAGAAAACTCAATTAAATGAAGGTAAATGTAAGAAAAATAAAAAGACATGAAAATGCTGCCTTAAAATTTAAACAGAGGTGGCCGAGAAGCATCTAAAGAAATGTTCAGCATCCTTAGTCGTCAGGGAAATGCAAATCAAAACAACCCTGAGATTCCATCTCACACCAGTCAGAATGGCTAAGATTAAAAACTCAGGTGATAGTAGATGCTGGCGAGGGTGTGGAGAAAGAGGAACACTCCTCCATTGTTGGTGGGACTGCAAGATGGTGCAACCACTTTGGAAATCAGTCTGGCGGTTCCTCAGAAAACTGGACATAGCATTACCCGAGGATCCAGCTATACCACTCCTAGGCATATACCCAGAAG